CTGCTAAGTGGTCCTCATGACCCAGGGGGTCTGCTGGGGCTCTCTGCACTGCCACATGCTGGGATGCTGTGCAGAGCCTGTGGCAAGTCCCCAAAAGAGCATCCCTATGTTGTGCTTATGGTTTTGGAGCAAAGCTTTGCTCTCTTTGGCTGACAACTATTCTCCTTTTTAGAAACTGTTCTGAAATTTCTCCTGGGCCCTGGCAAGATTGGCAGTCTGGCCACGGAGTACCAGTGACCACGTGACCTATGTGGCTTATCGTAACTGAATATCTGTCTCACTTGGCCATAAAGTGCCCAGTCGTGCCCTGTTCCTCAAGAGGACATGGAATATACAAGAGCAGGCCTGAGCGTTTCTTGGAGAAGACACAACCATGCAACTCCCAGTATGTTTCCTCACATTTCACTACCATCCTTCCCTCCATTCACAGCCACAGCCTTATGGAAAGCTCCCATGACCAGGTGACTAAGGAGGACATTTGAGCTTGTTTTACAAATGGTATCAGCTGGGAGTGGCTGTTACAGTTGCACTTGCAAATGGTCTTGAAAGGACAATGGCAAGAGGAAATCTCCCAGTGGGCAGAGTTTTGAGTTGTATTCTTATGGTTCTCTTTGCCCCAAGAAAGACTCTATTACCAGTTCATGGGCCAAGTGGTCAGGGACTTAGATTGGAGCCAAGGTTTGGGAGAGAGGACATAGATGAACCTCTCAGAGCAGACCAAGAAAATAAGACTATTTGTGTCCTATACGAATACTTATCAAAATGCCCCCTCTGCAAAAGAAGCTTTAAGTTACAGGACAAGAAGCCCTACCTTGTGGATGTAGGTCAAGCTCCTTCCTTAGTCAAGCCAGTGCCTGTTTAAATTGGGATCATAAGCTCAGCATGAGCTTCTCCAAGGAGAGGCTGAGCTGGCTATTGCTATTGCTGGGTGCCCATTTTTGAAGGAATCATTATAATGGATTCTTTCTACCACGGTGGGTGCAGTGAGTCAATCTCTTTGGGAAGAGGTATATAGTGAATTTGGATTTGCTTTTTTTTTTTTTTTTAAAGATTTTATTCACACATCTGAGAGAGAGGGAGAGAGAGAGAAAGCACAAGCAGGGCCAGAGGCAGAGGGAGAGGGAGAAGCAGACTCCCCGCTGAGCTGGGAGCTCGATGTAGGATTCGATCCCAGGACCTGGAGATCATGACCTGAGCCAAAGGCAGATGAGAGAGAGAAAGCACAAGCAGGGCCAGAGGCAGAGGGAGAGGGAGAAGCAGACTCCCCGCTGAGCTGGGAGCTCGATGTAGGATTCGATCCCAGGACCTGGAGATCATGACCATCTGAGCCACCCAGACGCCCGAATTTGTATTTGCTTTTTCCATCAGTGATGCAGTGATGCTTTTACCATCACCATCCTCCTACATGGGTTTAATGAAGACCTTATTCACCATCAGAGTATCTTTTTTTTTTTTTTAAGATTTATTTATTTGAGACAGAAAGAGAGGATGAGCGGGGGGAGGGGCAGAGGCAGAGGGAGACGCAGACTCCACGCTGAGTGCAGAGCCTGACATGGGGCTCAATCTCAGGACCCCAAGATCATGACCTGAGCCCAAGTCACACACTTAGCCGACTGAGCCACCCAGGCGTCCCTTGCCATCACAGTATCTTAGACATACATCATGGCACCTGTCTTCATCAGTTTGGGCTGTTAGAACAAATTACTATAGCCTGGGTGGCTTTTAAATAACAGAAATTTATTTCTCATAGTTCTGGAATCTGGAAATCTGACATCAGGGTGCCAGCATGTTAGGTTCTGGTGAGAGACCTCTTCTGGGTTGGAGGCTTTTGGCTTCTCTTTATATCCTCACATGGTGGGGAGCAGAAAGGGGAAGCAAGCTCTCTCATTACTTTATAAGGGCACTAACCCTATTCCTGAGAGCTTCACCCTCATGACCTGATCTAATCCTAATTACCTCCCAAGGCTCCATCTCCTGATATCACATTGGGAGGCAGGGTTTCAAACATATCAAGTTTGTGGGTATGCAAACATTGGATGCATAACAGCATCCGACTAAGGAGCTAACTTTACAGTGAAAGGAGTAAAGAAACTGGCTGTCCTTCCCATCAGATTCACTAGCCCTATTGTGGACCCCAGCAACTGGAAGCAGCTGGCTTTATAGTGGAATGATCCGTGGAAGACAGCTACTGAACTAGCTGGAAGACAACACCTTGAGAGCTTGGATTCCATTTATACTCAGACCCAGCAATTCTGGAGGTGTCTGTATTTTTCTCTTGAATTCCTTTTCTGTTTAAAGGAGCCAGAGTCAGTTTCTGTTGCTTGCAACTAAAAACTCCTAGTAATACAAAAATTTCTCTCTTGGCTGCCTGGCTCCTCAGCTGGTAGAGCATGGGACTCTTCATCTCAGGGTTGTGAGTTCAAGCCCCACATTGGACATAGAGCTTACATACAAACACCTCTCTTTGTGCCATCTATTTTTTTTTTTTTTAATAAAATGTCTTCCTCCACTACTAGCTTCCAAACTCTAGAGGCTGTCACCAGTATCTTTGTATTCCCTATGGTATATAGAACTCTATGCTTTTATTTTTTTAAAGAGTTTATTTATTTGAGGGAGACAGAGACAGTGGCAGAGAGCATGAGTGGGGAGGAGAGGGAGAAGCAGGCTCCCTGCTGAGCAGAGAGCCCAATACAGGACTCGATCCCAGCACCCTGGGATCATGACCTGAGCTGAGGGCAGACGCTTAACCGACTGAGCCACCCAGGCGCCCTGTGCTTTTATTTCTAAAATTTTTTTTAAAAGGATTTTATTTTTTTTCTGTAAAAATTTTATTTTTAAGTAATCTCTATACCCAACATGGGGCTTGAACTCACAACCCAGAGATCAGGAGTCGCTTGCTCCAACTGAGCCAACCAGGTGCCCCAGAATACTGTGCTATACATAGTGCAGGATACAGGTTGCAAACTTGTAGATTCTGGGATGTACCTGAACTGCATTTATTTGGACCAATCTGAAGTTTTGTTTGTTTGTTTGTTTTTTTAAATCGATGCGGTTGCCATATAAAAACCAAGAGATTTCATGTGCAATGCACATTTCCACCTTCTCTTGAAGAATTTGAAGATCTGGCTATTTTACACCCATATTCCCACGGCTGCCCTCCCTAAGCAAAACACAGGCCCTTCCACTTGTCAGCCTTGGCCTTGCCCACTTTATTTACTTTCCTCGCTTAAATGGTCCTTGAAGGCATGTAAATTTGCCACTCTTGATGCAATCGGATTATACTGAGTTTACTTGGCAATTAATGCTTGTATTTTCATTTACATTTCACTTGTGTTCTATCCTTCTTAGATTGTAATAAGCCACTTGGTGGACAGAATCCTGCTTACTGTCTTTCTTTAAATCAATTTTTGGTTGTCACGTATTCGATAAATATTAATATGTTTATAAAACCTTTCTCGAATGTCGAGCTGACCTTGACCCCTGTGAGTTGAATACCTCATTTGGTCTGGCGGTGCCTGACATTTCACCATCACGATTCGTCGTTGCCTGGGCTGAACTGAGACCTGGTGACTTGTCAGGTAAAGAAGTAAAATGATTTCCTCATAAGATAACACAAACATACAACATTCCGAAGTAGGTTTTAGGAAGTCAACCTTTCTACTGCTTATGAGAAACTGGGAAAGTTCTTGCTGAGGTGGTCGAGAGTTAGTAGCTGGGACACTGGGAAAGGTGGAGGAGGACTGGAATGTAGGTGCGTTCTGGAGTTTATCTGAGGCTTTTCGGATGGGGATTTTATCCAATGAGTCTCAGAGTGACTTTCCCTTGGGGTCTGGCAGCCCAGGGTGTGGTTCCTGGCACAGCCCCTGAACAGTTGTCATAGGGATCAATTTTGGGACTCTCTAGAACCAAGCCTTCGGAGTTTCACATTTCTGGGAGCTCGTCTCCCCGGCCCCAGTTAATTTCCGTCCCGCGCTGGTGCAGGCGGTCCCCCGCTCCGCGACATCCTCCGGCTCTTTCAGCATCAGTTTCCCCCAAGGGGGCGGGGCGGGGGGAGACGAGTACGGAGCCGCTCCTGCCCTCCTCTCCGCGCCGGGGAAGAGGAGACGCGGGAGGGAGGACCTGCCGAGTCCGGGCTTCAGCAGGGGCTCCGCGGAAGCAACTGGCTCCTCAGGCCTGTGGCCCGCAGCCCTCCGCGAGCTGAGCGCCCCTCTCCCCCGCGCCGCCTGCGTCCGCGG